GAATTAATACTTGGTTTTTGAAGCACGATTTGTTACCAAACTCCGTGCGGAAATTCATCGTTTGGCAGTGCAGTACCCGTGTGAGGGATACAGGATTGAATGCAGCAGCGTGCCAACAGTACCCTACCCACGGACTGACAGGCCACGCTCTGAGCTTTCAAAGCCGTCGACGGGACATGTCCTGCCTGATATGTCGTCGATGGGCCCCTTACGGCATGGACATTGTACATAATTGAGCACAGTTTGGGCTCTGTGCTTGAGTAGTAGTAGGGCTTGCTACAGTAACGATGCCGCTACGTGGGCCGCCGGTAGAGACGTCACGGACCGGAGCGGCCAGAAAGTGAGTAGAAGAAGAGGAAGGATCCAGCAGCGGCGGCCGAGATCGATTGGGCCCTTGCCTGCCTTTGTTTCGGAAAGAAAGGTTAGTGCAGCTGGGCTGCAACCATCGGCTAAAAAAACAGCTTTATATCTAAAAAAAGGCTAAAAAAACACGAAAAGAAGGAAACAAATTCGACGTGCTAGGCACCCGCGGCCCAGCTCCAGTCTTTCAACCAGACCATGGAAAAAAAACAACATATCACCATCCTAGAGCTATTCGTGCAATCTAGAATGAAAGCAGAAACAACAAGCGACCAACAACACGAACACGTTACAACAACTATTTGCTTTCCACCCCCACAAGCAAGAAACAACCCTTCTCACATCACGCTTTGGTGTTCTTGCACTTGCAGCTCCCAGAAGATCTTGGCTCATTATATTTGCACTGCATGCTGCAACACTTGTGGTGTCCCAATCGTAGGATTCTCGAATCTCCTGTTAAGACATGCCCAGTAGTTAAGCAAATAACACACATGAAGGCATGCTTAGATTGTTGCCCGCCCCACTCTCTCGGGGCGGATTGTGCGAATCCTAGCCACCACCACCCCAATCCTTCCCATCTCTATTCCTCCCATCGACGTCGCTGTATGATCTCGTCGGCCTAAGTCCAGGCGACCGGCGGTAGCGGCAGAGCTTTCCCCTCGTGCTGCGGCACATGTCCCCGATGGAGGGTCGCATCCCATCGCAGGGTCGAGCAACAACGGCATTCTTGTGTCGTTTCCCTACTTGGGGTGTTGTCCTGAAAACTTGCCTCACTCCACGCCTTCCTGGAGTTGAACGTGCGCGGCGCTACGATTGGCAAGTGTTCGACCGGTGGTGCAAAGCTGTCGGGATTCGAATTGTGGGGCAATGATGATGGTGGCATGAGGAGTTGGCTCGCCACGACTTCTTCGACGCCCGCCTGTCATGTCCCTCTGTTTGTCATTGTGTCTTCTTTCTGTACAACAGTGAAAACGGAGTTGCATGTCAAGAGGTTGCTCGCTAGCAACAATGCCCTCTGAAAGGTAGGTTCGATGTTTAGCAGTCTTTGGTGATCGCAACAGGCAATGTCAAGGCAAGATGTGCTTGTTTCTCATGCGAGGCTCGTCACCGAAGTTGTAGATGCCTAGTCCTCCACGCCCCTGGGAGGCCGATTATTTAGCATAGCCGACAGGGGTCTCATGCATCCTTCGCGGTAAAGGCTCTTGGTTGGTCATCTGTGATATAGTTTGAGTTGCTTGCATGGTGGGAGGTGTTGAACATGACCTTTGCTGGAACAGCCTTGCTAAATCTCAGTCGAGTAAGACTTGATTCGCTATACCCGTAAGATTTTACATTGAGATCAGTGCAAAAATTCTTCTTAAACTTCTTCTTTTTCTTTCTTACATGTTATGTCACTTGACTGAGATTTGGTTAAATCCCAGTCGACTGAGACGTAGCCACACCCCCTTGCTGGAAACCTCGACAAAGTTCTTCTCCTCAGTGATGTGTGGGGATCTTTGCGGTCTGGAGTGTCCGGTTTTGGTGGGCATGATGTGCTGATTTTTGCCCCGACTCTCGGCCAATTAACGAGGCAATTTTCAACTTAATTAACTAATAAGACCCTAAAGGCTTTGGTTAGAAAAAATAGGGCATGCATGGTTTGGTATAAAAACTTGGCCAACAAATGTGTTCACAAGCAAAAAAATGATGCTAACGCTAAGATTTATCTAAAATTTGGCAAGTTTATGTAACGTTGGCAACAAAAGTTGACAACCCATCAATTGCTAGCCAATAGGCTAGCATCAAGCCAAACATCATGGAATGCCGCTTGTAGTGGGGATTTGGTGACATTCCATCAACAGTTGCTTGAGGCGCATTTAGGTTGCCTTAACATACTCGAGGGAATTGCACAAACCACCAACTTTGGGTGCTGATTTTGCACGAAACATCTACTCCACGGATTTTGCTGCACGGAACACCACACATAGGTGTAATTCATTGTAGTTAGGTCTAATCTACGGTTTAGATATGTTGATGTGATTTCTGATGGATGGGCCCCACTTTTAAGTGCACCCGTGAAAAAACAGCCACAACAACGTTTCAACTATAACTCTCAATATCTCGCAAACGTTTGGTCCAACTAAGCTTAAATATTTCCAGATTAGTAGTGGGTGCACATATGCTTTACTAAAGAAAATCCAAACTTTTCATAAATGTAAAATTTTGAATGAAAAAATTGAATGAGCTAACTAAAATTGTTGATATCTCCCGGACATCTAGTCGAAATGAAATATTCCTAGATTAATGCTGGCTAAATAAATGGTTTACTAGATTTTTGAGCCTTTTTTTTAATGTCAAATTCTGAACAACTAAAAATTCTAATATCTACCCAGCAGTTGGTCTAAATAAGTTGCGTTTTCTAGAATGGTACTGGATACATGTGTGATTTACTGAAATTTTCTTGTATTTTCCTGAAAATATGGAATTTCAAGTCAAAAAAATGAACGGGCCAATCAAAACTATGATCGGAGGTGCGTTAGTTTTACCTCCTGGCTGATGTGGCCGATTTTGTTTGCCATGTGCGCATTTGCAAGCGGGGCCAACTCGTAAAAAACCACATCAACGTACTTAAATGCCAAATTAGCCCCAGTTGCAATTTACGATTTTCCGTGCAACAAACCGTAAAGTAGTATGTGCTTTGGTGTAACCGTGTAAACCCAACACCAATGGTTGGTGGTTTATGCGATTTCCTCCCCAAAACATACTCCCTCCGTTCTTAAATTTTTTGTCTTTATAGAGATTTCAAATGGTCATCACATACGGATATAAGTATATAGACATATTTTAGAGCGTAGATTCACTCATTTTGTTTCATATGTAGTCATCATTTAAAACCTTTAGAAAAACAACTATTTAGAAATGGAGGAAGTATATAGCATGAAAACCACCCCCTCGGATAGAATTGAAGCAGCGCCAAAGCAAAGCCCCGCCGAATCAAACAGTTGCATACTGTAGCATGTTGAGCAAGAAAAAACGCGTAGCATACGAGAAGCCGGTGCGTGATAATGGAGATTCGGATTCCACGTCCACTCATCACGGACTCGTGGAGCGAAACTTGCAGGCAACTTCCGGGCTAGCAGACGCCGCCCGCCTTGTTCCTGGCCACTTGCCTCCGGTCTGTGCCATCGGCGGTGCGTGCGAGCCAAGCACTCGATCCCCGGCTCAGCCACGCAACCCCTGATTCCCGGTCCAACGTACGTGGAGAAGACGAGACCGGAGTTCAGCTCGGTGCATCTATCTATCCACACTACACGCGTCCGGCCGGGACGGCTTTCTGGAGGCTGGACAGGGGAGACTCCACGTTTCTTGGCAACGAAGGGGTGGCTGCGGCCCAGAAGGAATTTCGCGTCGGAGCATGTCTCGGCGTCGGTCAATGCGTTCTGGAATTTGATGCGCTTGCAAGGAGGTTGTGGAATCTCTCTCGCTCTTTCTCTCTGCGGTTGGGAGGACGGCGAACATATTCCGCGGCCATCTTGTGGACGCAGCATATCATGGCGGCCGGCCAAGTAAAGCATCGGCGAACTCCTGGTGGGATCACATCATCATCACAATGCAAATTCTCGGTGAAAACAGCGACAGCACGTACCAGAGGCAAAACATCAGCCGCGTACGTTTCTGCAAATGAAAACGAGAGGAGATGAAAGAGAGAAATTTCTTTGGCTGGTGAAGAAGAAACTGTCGCATATGCCATGGGAGATGCCTCCCTCCCCCGTGCGGTGCTCAATAATACTACTACAAGACGGCCGGCCTTTTTTGTTCGCTTTTTTAAAGCGAAAAGGGAGCCGGCGAGAAACAAGGCGGCTTGGTTGTAAAAAGTTGCTTTGCTTTGGACGATGAGAGTCGGCGCAAAGGAAACGGCGCATATCGGCAAGCCTAAATACAGTCGTCATCACGTGATAAAACGATCGGTACCCGACAATCGTTCGGGGAGCCGTCGCCCTCGCGCATATCTTGGCGACGGGTCACGCCATCATCCATCAATCTTTGCATTCCAAAAGATTAGATACGCAACAACTTGGATTGCTCTTTCACTTTTTACGCCCAAGATTACATACGACCGAACCTCCGTTGTCAAAAGAACGAAACGAAAAACGTTACTACTACACCCAATAACTCACGAGGCCGGCACTGACACCTTGAATGAATTATTGGAGTGGTTGCACGAATCAGAAATGCAGAAGATAGGATCAGAAACAAGGAAGATAAGGATGAAGAATCAAATAGTTCTCTTCAATCGAAGAAAAGAATCAATTCGTGCTTGTATTCCTCGCGCAGTAGTTTATTCCTGCGCGTACGAGATGATCAGAAGATAGGCCAGGGGAAATGAGCACACTGGTCGCTTGTCAACACACTGCAACTTGGCACAGAGTAACACTAATTATAACAAAATGACACTCGTTATAGGAAAAATAATGCTTATTTATAAGTTCGAGACAGCTTTTCCCCAGAAGTACGCTCATTGTGGCAGACGCAGCAAACCACCTAGAGCTAATAGTTTATTCAGAGAGCAATAGCCTGGCCGGCTGCTTCACAGTAACCAAACGACAAACTGACAGTCAGAACAAATTCCACAGATGGAATAGCGACAGCAAATCATGTCTTCACTCGCACAGCACCGCGCCCTCTTCCAGAGAATCCTCCTCCGCCCGCCATGCGAGGAGGTTGGCGAGCTTGCCTTCCTTGACCAGAGGGTGGCTGTGCACACTCTCGGCCTCGAAGCAGTGGAAGACGGACCTGGGCGACCCGGCAGAGACAGCAACCTCTTCGTTCACGGTAAAGCTCTGGTAGATGAGGACGCCTCCACAGGGGAGCTCCTGCTCCACAACGTTGTTGCAGTCGTATGCCTCGGCGTCGAGCTTCTTGCCCCAGGTGGCGGCGTGGCCGCGGCCACCAAAGATGGTGACCGCCGCAGAGAACTCTGAAGGGCCAAAGCACCGGAGGACCCTCTTGACGATGTCGCCGTAGGCCAGGGCGGAGGCGTCCATGCCCATGACCTCGTAGCTCGCATAGCTGAAGCCGTCCTCGGGGGTCACATGGATGGTGGAGACGGCAGATCCGTTGATGGCGTTCATGGAGTAGCCGCAGGGCTCGAAGTCGAAGTCACAGACCTCCATCTCGGGAATGATGTCGGAGATACCAGAGAGCTTGGTCATCTCCTTGGCGCAGGAAACGTGGCTATCAGCTTGAGTCTTGAAGAAGACAGAGGCCTTCTTCTTGTCCAGCCCAGTCATGCACATCTCCAGGGTGACCATGGGCTGCTCAGGTTGCTCGGTGGCATAGTAGATGTGCCACTTCTGGCCAGGCTTCGCTGGGTCTCCGATCACATAAGCATTGCCGCCAGACTTCAGGTGGCCGAAGTAGCGGTTCAGGACATCAACCTCCTCAGAGAAGCTCCTGTGGGGAGCAGGCTGTGCGCCGGGGAAGATGAACATCCCACGAGAGTACTTCACGGCAGCAAGCGGCATGCACAGCTCTTCAGCAAGCTCAAGAATCCTAGGAATGGTGAGCAGGAGCATGGTAGTCCCACAGGTCTTGATCACAATCTTCTGAGAGTAGATGAACAGGCTCGACTCAGATAGCACATAGGAGTCGAAGTCCTTGTTGGAGAGCTCGGACACAATGGTGCACCGTGCAAGATCAAGAACAGAGTCAATCTGGGCCCTGGAGAGGGCGCGCAGGCCACGACCATGAGGGTCGGCAAAGATTGATGCCTCGGAGAAGGTGATCTCGAGGCGCTTCTCGTAGCCCTCAAACCCGATCGCAGAGGTCGGGGCAGCCATTGTTGCAGTTCGAGTCAGAGAGCAGAGCAGAGAGGAACAGAGGGAGAAAGACTAGAGAACTGGTCGATTATCGTGAAGCAGCAAGCCAGAGAGATTGGTGGGAGAAAAGAGTCAGAATAAAATTGCATAAAAATCCTAAACTACGAGAAGGGGATGCCAAAAACGATATCAGGATGGCTTCTTCGCGCACTGCAGGAAACAAATTCACATGGTTAGCAACAAATCTGGAGATAAAATGTTTGAACAGAAGTGAGACTCTGATGTTTCGTCCGTGATCCTTACGTTCGAGTATGCAGCAGAGAACTTCTTGGCGCCTCCAGCAGGTCGAACGTCTTCAATGCTGTAGCCGAGGGGTGCTTCGTACATCAGGGAACTACTACTGCTAGACTTTTTGCCACCCTTTGACTCCATTAGCACATTCACTAACTGCGAAACGAGAAAAGAGGGGTTAGACAGCAGGTTCTAGCAAACTTTCATGGCTAGATAACTATGAAAACGTTTCTATGCAGTTATTTTCTTGTTAATATCAATTATTCGATGGTTAACATAACATGCCGGACATCATATTGTAAAATCGAACAACGAACAAGCGCCATACGGAACTTAAGTGACTTGATGATAGGAGCAGATTCAAGATTAAAATTAATTTTGCACAATTTAATTTCAAAAGCTTTTCGACGCTGGATTTCGACTTCCTCTAGCAAAACAATAGTAACTACAAGCAACCAGGCATATGAGCATATCTAAAAGAAAACGTCCCAGATCCAGATGCAAACTACTATACCAAGGATCAATTCTCCTACAGAAACTAGCGCACATAATCATACGGTAAAAGGAGCACAGCAACATGACCTAGAAGCCAGAGATCCACAGACTACCGCGGCATAATAAGGATGGGGAATTATTTGGGTTGGCCGAAGAAACTTACAGGTTCCTGGGAAAAATTGTATGGTAACCCCGATCCCGAGCGCGCCCGCTTGTTCCGATTCCGATCTCAAGAATTCCCTCTCTCCCGACACAGATCTCGAGCCCTCCCGACGAGTTCTTCTCTCTCTTTTTTTCTTCTTATCTAGCTGCGGCGGTGGTGGCGGCGGCGAGACGGTGGGGGTGGGAGGAATTCTTGTGCAACGAGTTTGCGTGCGGCTGAGGAAGGAACCCTCGCCCCGGCCCGCTATTTATAGCTCCGCTAAGCGGAGGCGGGCTCCCGTGGCCGCCACGGAAGGACCCGGCCCGCGCGGAGGCCCGTGAGCCGGGTGGACGCGGCGCGGGGCCCGCGCCGGGGTGGGATTCGCGGCTGTGAGCGAGCATCCACGGTGCGCCGGGTCTACGTGGGAGAGGCTGGTGGAGGACTGTCACGTGCTTCTCTGAGGTTCCGACGGTTTCCGCAGCGCGTTGGGATTGACAGCTGGGGGCGCGTGGGATTCGCGGCTGTGGTGCCTCCGGCTCACGGTGGACCGGGCGCGGGGAGGCCTCTCGGGGTTGGGGCGCTTCTGTGAGGTTCGGACTGCTTCCGGGGGTGGACAGGTGGGGCCCACCTGTCGGGGCCGGGATCGGGGCCACGTTCTGGCTGACTCGACGGGCGGTTGGCTTTGAAGATTCGGATGCCCAATAATTGCTCGGCGTGGTTTTGAAGTTTCGTGACTAGACGGGCATGTGCGACTTGTTTTCCTCTACGAACAAGCCTGGAATCTGTTTACCGCGGGAATTTTAACTCCTCGAGCCAAAAACTCTGGACAATACTTCCACCACTCAAAAGCGTATCAAGATTATTCTGTGGGAAATGTTGGGGCTGTTTGATTTGTGACTAACTTAGCCATAGCTTGCCACAATTAAGGTTAGGCAAGTTTGACCAACTTAGATGAATGTTTGGTTCAAGCCACACCTTAGGCAAGCCATACTTGGACCCCACATGGCATACACACAAAAAGTGTGGCAAAATCCCCTTAGGCTTGTCAACTTGTGTCTTTCATTTTGATAAACTAACCTTAGGCAAGCTTGGCAAAAATGTGTGGCAAAGTATGACAATGCTAGTTCTAGAATCAAACAGGCCCATTATCCGCTGAACGTTTCGCCAGGGGCCAACCCCGACGAACGCTCTCAAAACCTCCCTCCAAATTAAACAAACTATCATTGTAGTTTCGCAAAATGCTACCCAAACTCACCCAACACAAATAACACGTCATTTGGGGGTCGCAAATGTAACCCTACTTGGTGAACTGTCGCCGACTATAGGGTCCTATTTTTTCGAGGAGAAAATGTATCACGATTTGTGGTCAACCAGCTGTACATCAGTGAATACAAATTATTCGGCATGACAAACTGTTTACCACGGGAATTTTAACACTCGAGGTTTGCCTAAAAAAACACTCGAGACCCATGAAAGATTTCTGTACAACCTACTATATAAAATAACAGATTTTTAGACAAACGTCCTTCTATTTTGCCAAACACCACCGTTCGGAACCATATATTATGAGCATTTATAGTCGGGCTCCTCAAACGCCTCCTATACTTTCACACGGACGGGGGTCACAACATCGCAACTTAGTCAGGCTCCTCAAACAGGTCCTATACGTCCAGACTGTCTGGAGTGGATATAGGGAGGCCCGGATGTGCCAAGACACGTCTACCACGTCGGATCCGACAAACATGACCCACCACAAACTTCATCAAATCCATGTGACCTAGCCGGACCAGCACTTTTCCTATCCTCTCTCCTCCCTCATCTGCGTCGGCCGTCCCCTAACTCCGTCGCCATCTTGACCCTTGGCACCGCCATCACCGCCACAGACTCCTCACCACCCTGGAATGCTGCTACGGTACGCCTGACTTTCTCGAATTACACCTCACCCTCTATGTATTCGAAAAATTGTTGGAAGGTTTTTTATATTCTTTTGTATGTAAAATGATGGATTCTGATTGTTCATCGGATGAGGAGTATCAAGACAATGAGCTTGATGAGTTCATTCAAAAGGAATTCTTTGACTCGTTGGATTCGGACAACGAAGATGTTGAGATGGTGATGATGGTGATCAACATCCAAGACGGAGTGGAGCACATTCTGAACTTCAAGGGTTCGATCAAAGGGAGGAGAGTTTTGAATCAGGATATCATCGATGGTGCATGGCATCTCTACAAGGACTAGTTTCACCTCAGATCAACATTTCCTAAAATATTTTTTCGTTGATGCTTTTTTATGCACAAACCCTTGTTCTTGTGTGTGGAGGATGGAGTAGATGCACATGATCCCTACTTGAGGCTAAAGACGGATTGTTTCCAAAAACTCTCATTTTCTTTGCAGAATGCATGGTTGCACAGAATGCTTGCATTAGGTACCGTCGTCGATGTCGTTGGTGCAATGGTCTGGATGGAGGAGAGCACGTGCGTTGATACCACTATGACGAAGTTGCGCAGTCGCATGAAGTGCTTCTCAAAAACCTAATTTGTCCTCTCCCGATGAAGGCATTCCGGATGAAGTAGACTACAATGACGGCGCAAGTTGCAAGATGAGGCAAAACCCTAGCTTGTTCTGTTGTATATATAGGAGAACCAAAGACGACATCAATAGTGGTAAATCGTATATATAGGAGAACCACAGACGACATCACCCCGGCCACGAGCCCCAGCCTGGGCACATGAGCGTGTGGCGTTCTCTTTCTCTCTTCAATCCATCACTTAGTGGATTGGAGAGAACCCACTATATAAAGAGATCTCACACCCCCTCCACTTTCAGAGTGGGACTAAACTTTAGAACCATCTCTTGCCATTTTTTTCACGGGTCTTTGCGATTTACTTTAGAAAATTCAATTTTTTTGCATGGGCCAAGCTGTTACTTCTAACACTAGTTCGGGTCTTCCAACCCATTTGCCGACTCCTCCAACCCATTTGCCGACTCCTCCAACCCATTCAACGACACTCTGTACGCTTATGATGGTAGTATGTTGATCTAGTCGGGTCTGTAGCCGTAGTCGCGCAAACAGGGCGCCTAGTGATGTTCGTGATGCGGTCCAACTACATTGTGTCCCGTCTCCTTGCCTTGCATGGTTGGATTTTGGGAAAGTCAAGTTTAGTTGTGTTGTACCCTCTTCGGATCGAGCACCCCATATCTCATTGCTCTCGAGTACCCTCATCGGATCAGTTATTGTATGCACCATTGCTACAGTTCATCATGCCGAGACACCACGTGATGATCGGGTGTGATAAGCTCTATGTTCACATACAACGGGTGCAAGCCTGTTTTGCACGTGCAGAATACTCGGGCTAAACTTGACGAGCCTAGCATATGCAGATATGGCCTCGGAACACTGAGACCGAAAGGTCGAACGTGAATCATATAGTAGATGTGATCAACATAGTGATGTTCACCATTGAAAACTACTCCATCTCACGTGATGATCGGACATGGTTTAGTTGATATGGATCACGTGATCATTTAGATGACTATAGGGATGTCTATCTAAGTGGGAGTTCTTAAGTAATATGATTAATTGAACTTTAATTTATCATGAACTTAGTACCTGATAGTATTTGCATGTCTGTGTTGTTGTATATCAATTGCCCGTGCTACCGTTCCCTTAAATTTTAATGTGTTCCTAGAGAAAGCTAAGTCGAAATATGATGGTAGCAACTACACGGACTGGATTCGTAACTTGAGGATTATCCTTATTGCTGCATAGAAGAATTACGTCCTGGAAGCACCGCTAGGTGCAAAACCCACTGCAGGAGCAACTCCAGATGTTATGAACGTCTGGCAGAGCAAAGTTGATGACTACTCGATAGTTCAGTGTGCCATGCTTTACGGCTTAGAATCGGGACTTCAAAAATGTTTTGAACGTCGTGGAGCATATGATATGTTCCAGGAATTGAAGTTAATATTTTAAGCAAATGCGCGAATTGAGAGATATGGAGTCTCTAATAAGTTCTATAGCTGCAAGATGGAGTAGAATAGTTCTGTCAGTGAACATATACTCAGAATGTCTGGGTCCCACAACCACTTGACTCAAATGGGAGTTAATCTTCCTGATGATAGTGTCATTGACAGAGATCTTCAATCACTGCCACCAAGCTACAAAAGCTTCGTGATGAACTATAATATGCAAGGGATGGATAAGACAATTCCCGAGCTCTT